TCAAATACAAAATCGTGTTTCTGAAGCTACTGGTGTGTCCATAAGTACTCTGAAACGCATTCTGAAAGAGTACGAACATAATAAACGAGTGGGAAAAGAATTCAGCACACCTCACAAGAAACGGCCAAGAAGGAAAATTAAAACAGATGTAGATGATTTTGACAAGTGTGTAATTCGAAGAACGATTAACGAATTTCACACTACACAAGGCGAGCGTCCTACTTTAAAATCGTTGTTGGCAGTAATTAAGAAAAAGATTAACTTCAGTGGCGGGAAGTGGGCTCTTTGGAAAATAATTAGAAATTTAGGCTTCAGGTGGAGGAAATCGGAAAGTAATAGGAAAGTTCTTATCCAAAAGGATGATATTCGTGCAGCAAGACTGTCTTATTTGAGAAATATAAGTCGTTACAGAAATGAGGGGCGACCTATTATCTAAATGGACGAAACGTACATTCACTCCTCACACACGAAAGGACATGCCTGGGGTGATGGTACAAATGCACTGATATTTTTGTGTTCAGTAGTACAGAGAAATCTGTTCCCCTACTCGCCCCACTATCACTAGCAGACAGCGTCAGTACCCTCCCTTACGCGCATATCCACAGCTCATGTCTGAGCGAACGACTAATACATGTACTAATATACGGTAAATTCTCTCAAGTTGTACAAACCCTTTATATTGGACACTTTTAATTGGAACCGGCGAATATCATATAATTTTACATTTCCACAATACACTATATCTTGGACACCCTTTTGTTGTAAGTTGGAGAGGTTCATGCACTTAAGCTTCAATACATTTCAGGGAAACGTTTACAGTTATATATTTTGTTGTTTTGAATTAATGACTAATGAATGCCTTCTGTCTTTAGATTTAACCTATGGTTTAGGGGGTAAGAGACATGAACCCATCGTTGAAATGCAGTGAAAGTGTTTAGTTATTCTTTCCCCGAACCCTTCACTGAACTACAGAATTGCACTTGCATTTGATTTCAATTTTTGTTAACAGAAATGTGATTTTCTTTTTGCGACGGGGAAGGAAAAATTGGTGAAATTAACTTTATAAAATTTCATTGAGTCTGGGGTGTAATGTGCAATAAATGGGAATGGGTTTCAAAATATTATTGTTGTTGTTGTTGTTGTCATTTTTGATTCGTACGTCTCCAGTATATTTTATATTAGGAATCAAGTAGAGCTCGCAGAATGCGTACGAAAAAATAATGCACAAAATGTTGCACTGTAATTTTGACAGAAATATGAAGCATCAATGGAATGTTTGAAGCATATATCTGGTAATCACAATGTCACTAAATCACCTCCTCTACTATGCGCAAACAACAATAGTTAAGCTGCTAGCTTCATTCAAAATTCGAGCAATTTTTTCGTACCCTTGCATAGCGTATCAGCAGCTGAAATTTTGTGTACAATCATTCCTAGATGGGCTCTGTAGACGAGCAAAATTTCCGTATTTTCTGTTATTTACCAAACAAATGAAATATGCAAGTTTTCATTAATTCTGATCGGAAGTGGGAACCTAGCAACAGTGAATACAAAACAGAGGAATTGCCTGCCTGCCTACCGCATAAATTTCACGTTGTTTATGTTACATTTCTGTTCTTCTCTTTTATTCTCAATTCTCAATTATTTTCATTTCATTGTTATGTATAGAGTAAAATGCAAAAAGAAACGAACATTGGCAGCGATTTACTTACAGTTCCTAGGACATTAAATACAGAAGCCTTTACTCATTCACAACCAAAAAATCTCCCGCATTTGTACTTTGTACGAATTAGTACAATTACTCAGCACTTCTCAAATACAACATACCATTTGTGTCACATAGCTGGTCTCTCTTTACAGATATAATCTACGTCGTTGGTGGATTGAATGGCCAAGAATGTTTGGCCTCAGCAGAGGTGTATGACCCACAGACGAATCAATGGACAAAAAAATCCCCAATGTTTTCCGGACGCAGTGGTCTTTCTTGCGTCGCCTTCCAGGGCAGTGTGTACGCCGTAGGTAGGAATTTGCAATTTTGTGAGCAGTATTTTTCTCCTGTTTTTACTTAATTCGTTTGTCAGCATTTTTAACCTCGTATTATGTGATTTATTTATCGCGGTTTCGATTACCTTCTCCTCACAGCGTATTTCTATTATAGTACGCCACAATTTTCACGTATTTTGTTGAGTGTGGGAAAGAAATTTCAATTTGCCGTGAGCCGTGGCAACACTGGCTTCGTCTCGGCACCAAGCCCATGTTTTGAAGCGGTTTTTTAGAATTCCTTGTTTTTTAATCGACTCTCTATGTAATAAAATTACGTGTATTTAATGTTGAACAATGTTTTCGGATGCAGCCGTATGGAACAGGTAACAGGCGTGGCAACTGCTGCAGTACAACATAATTTTAGGAAATTGAATCGAATCACTCGTCAGTCGCCAGATTTTCTAGGAATATATTGAAAGGGATTGCGTTGTTTACTAATGGGTTCGGGATGCTTTCAACACATATCTCAATCATGTATTTATGAATTTAATATGTAACTGTGAGCTAATATGCACATTGAACGAGGCATTAAACTTAGGTTTGGTGACTTCATAGACACTGTGTGGTTAAGGAGAGTCTTGTTTTAACGGCGTACTGTAAATCAACTACAGAGGTGTGCTGCGTATGTTCATAAATTCCAATGTCCACTAATAGAGCCATCACGACTTGAAAATGTGTTCCATCATATCCATTTTATTCGTAATTTTGTTCTTCAAATATCAAAATTGCATCAAGGAATTAGTTTGCCTCGTCTCACTCATGCGGCTTCAGACATGTTTTGTTTTCATTAACTGATAAAATTCATACGTGGACAGAATTTCATATTTTAGGAGCATAACATCATACAATGAGGTGGGCGGACTGTGTACTACTCATGTAATATACGACAAATGCAAAGTTTTAATATGAAAACCTGAAGGGAATAGACAATAAATAGGAGGATAATATTAAATGTGAGTTTATAAAAATTAGTTAGGGAGAAGGTTGAATGATGGGATCATGTGACCATGATAATGAACATTCTGGTTCTATTAAAAACCGGAAATTCCTTTACCAGTTGAGGGAGTAATAATTATCGGCGAGAACCCTGCTGAATGGACTTGAAACACGTTTCGTTCGGCAACCTACTTTTATATTCTGTGACCTAATAGAGAGCGTTTTTACATGCAGGAGGATTTGTCAGATTGATACGCACTACGAGTAGTGGGGAGAGGTACAACCCTGAAACAGACACGTGGACCGAGATCTCCGACATGCCTAGTTCACGAAGCAACATGGCGCTTCAAGTAATTGACGACATCTTCGCCATAGGTGGTTTCAATAGTGAAACCAGCATTTGCCAAATGGAGTGTTTCGACCACAGGAGAAATGAATGGTTTGTTTATTTGATAGTTTTGGATCTTTTCACAACCTATAATTTGCGAAGCATAAATAAGTGAGTTTCGAATTAAAGTAATCAGTTCATGGAGTCTTTGACCTTGTAGGCTTTTAGAAATTTCTCGACGTTTCGAAGGCGCTTGCTGCTTCCATCATCACGTCTGTATGTAAGCCGCACTAGGAAAGTGGGTGGGAGTTGTGTGTTAAAGTGAGAGTGGGCAAGACAGTGTTTCGTTCAAGTTCAGTTATTAAATCCAAGCTGCAGTTGGCTGAGTAATGCTAAGCAGGCGTAAGCAATGACTGTACTAATAAGAAGCCCATAAGCGAAGTTTCTTTGATCAGGGATACTCTCATGGGGCTCAAAACATCAACGCAGCCATACTAATCACGATATTAGGCCAATCAAACTACCAGATTTAACATTTCATACCCATTACGAGTTGTTTATATTTGATATGAATTTATTTGAAAATGGCTGTCTTTTGTGGTGTTTCGCCGTGTTGTCCTTTGCCACCTGATGATGGAGACAGTAAGCATTTCGTCTGCATAGGGACTAGAAATAAAACAAGTTCACTTGTTTTAGGTTCTTCTGCTATTGCTACGCTCGACAGAAACTCTCCACAAAAATTTTCTATTGGACGAAAAATTAATTTTCAAACTAATTTGTTAAAAGCTGTAAATTTTCTATGAACACATATGAAAATACGTGTAGTTAGATCTTAGCAACAGAATTCATAGTAACCTATATTTAGATGGAAGGATACTGTTAAAACAGATCATAAAATACAGTCTGGATCAGAATTTGGACCGGTGGCGGTCTCTTGTGACCCCGTAACGAAGCTTCCGGTTCCCAAAAGGAGAGGAATATCATGCACCAAATTCCCTTTGGGAGAATTTTCGTTGGTGGTTAACTGAGAAAAGAACTTGAACGTTTAAATAGCAGTCTTTGAGTTCCATTCTACCGGAATCCAGACCAATCCCATCAAACATCGAAGACATTTTAGGTCAACACAGATGACGAGTCCAAAAGATAATACCTTCATACTTATTCCACATCACAGTCACAGACATCTTAGGACCACAAAAACGTATTTTTTAAGAAAATGATTAAATTTCTGTACGGAATAACACTGGCATTCTTTCGTTAATCACAGGCGACGTCAATTTATAAGAAAAGTTGTCAGTGGAACCACGGTTCCGGAGAATTTGACGTAAATACGTCTATACGGAAAGGAAGTTTATATATTGGCTTTATTCTAAATATTTCCTTTATACATGCTTTACAATTGAGTAAAGTTTGATTAAGACATTGCTTATTCAACTT